ATCAAAGAATAAGAAATTGTTTGGTAAAGGAAAGTATAACGATACTATCCGCGAAACTTCGAGGGTCTTTCATTACTTTTCGCGCATTCCGCTCTGCTGCTTAGTATGAAATCAGCTTAAGAGAATACATCTGGGGCGGTATTCAATCCTTCCCCCAGGGGTTGGGGGACGGAAATCCCTTTAAATTTATTTGTTTTTAACGATGTAGTTTCTTCATTTTCAATGCATGTTTACTTTGACCTACATACATACATTAAATGTAGGCCCTTTATCAGGACAATCCCAGTTGGGAAGACAGAGAAAATTTAAAGGGATTTTCGTCCCCCAACCCCTGGGGGAAGGATTGAATACCGCCCCAGATGTATTCTCTTAAGCTGATTTCATACTAAGCAGCAGAGCGGAATGCGCGAAAAGTAATGAAAGACCCTCGAAGTTTCGCGGATAGTATCGTTATACTTTCCTTTACCAAACAATTTCTTATTCTTTGATCTACCGAATTCGTAATTTAGGATTAGATTAAAGTGTTAAACTCACTACCCCACCACCAATTTTCTTGGATTGCTGGAAGTTTCCTCATCAAGTAAGTACAAAATTTAGCAGATAGCGATGGATAGATGCGAAAATGTCATAGTATATTACAGTTGCTGCTGAAAATTTTGAAAATCTCACCTCACCCGGGGCCGTATCCTTCCCCCCCCCGGCTAGCTAGGCAAAAGAGCCCTTCAAACTTATTTGTCTTCAACGATGCATTTCCCTTACAATCCGCGCCTGCTTGTTTTTACACACATATGTGAGTACATTACAAATATGCAGCTTCTTAGGAGTGATTTTTGTTTGAAGGACAAAAAGAAATTCAAAAGGATTTTTTGTTCACCTAGCCCAGAGGAAGGATAGGGTACGTCCCCAGGAAGGGCATGTGGCGTGAGAGTTGATCTCGCCTGCAGAAATTCTAATTTTTACAGGGGTGAAACCATCCGGGTGTGAGTCGGGATCAGGAAAAAAAGCGCTATAGTAGCGCTATAGCGTGCTATAGTATTTATAAAAAAATTCCCACACACTTCGACGATTCAAATCAAAAAGCTTTGGATTTTTTGTTTGCTCGAAATTGCTAACGTACCTGGAATCTATTCCATACGTCGAACAGTTTAGACATCCCTTTCCTATTGTTTCGCTTAACCTCATAGGATTTCAAAGAATCCAAAAGGGAGTCAAAATGAGAGACAATTGACAGCTGAAAAAATCGTTGATTTGAGCAACTTCAGATAAATTAAGGTGCAAGCCAATACAAAAAAATTTACACATGAAATCACCCCAACAAATTTTTTTGAGAGCAATATTAGGTCTATAGGGAAATTATGTTCGTTTTATGTTCATAAGCATTTACAAGAAGTAGAACATTTTTTTAAACAAATGCCCGTAAGAGTGAAAACGTATATCAAACTAAAATTAACACATCATGTGCGCTAGATTATTAAACTTGTACAATATCTGCAAATTTCAGAAAGAAAAAATGTACAAGTTCGGTTATTTTTGGGAAAATGCTTACCTGATGGTCATCCTTGTTCAGAACATTGTCCTCAACCAACTTCGCGTAAGCACTGGCGATTGTTGTCGCACATCTGCTTTCCAAGTATATAACTTTTCTTAAACTAGTGCCTATGGACAACATTACTGGGAACTACACTAGTCAGAAGTCAGAGGGTGTCCAAGAATCACGTGCGTACTAAGGACTGCTGAACATTTTTTGCACTTTCATTGTCACTTGACGATGCTCTTCACGATACAAAAAAGCTGCGGTCACCCAGTGTTATTACGTACTGTGGACGACTACCGCAATTTACGCCTAATTTTATTCCATACCTACCCTCCCAGTGCACCTGCTGCGCGATTAGGTTACCGAATATGCAGGACTGTCGGAAAACCTTTCCAAATGAAGGAGAGTTCTAGATAGTTGTGGGGGGATATCGCCGCCACGGCGCACCCTTCAGTTCGAAGCGGAGATTCCACGAACCAGAGTAAGAGTTGCCATTTCAGAGGGTGGGGGAGGGCGTGAAGCGGTTCACTTGACATGTGCGAGAAGCTAGAACGTGCGATCCTGGGAGTGGGTAGCTAGGAGAAAAGTCGATCTTACATATCAAACTTTTGCCAGTGCCATATCATCCTGAAGTTCCTCCCTCTCCAAGGTTTAGTCCTAGGGCACTCACCTCCTTCTTCGGGATTTGGAGCCGCGAATCATTCGTTTTCCGCAGCGCTAAACCCTTTCGCTGCGCA